TTTGTTGAATAAATCTATGAATGAAAAAACCAGAGTTAACTGGTCGGTTCTCTGCATTTTATTTGTACAGTTGATCTTCCTCTAATTGACACCCTGACTCGGGTCTTACAAATTATGGAACGTTACTTGAAGAAACCAAAGAACTCAGCAGAGTCTAACTCTGATGAAACTAAGAAGTCTGACTTCATGGGAGATGACTTACACTTGAAAATCTTAAAGGATATTTCGTGTGAATTTCTTTCTACTGTTTTACAGGCATTAACAAAGGTATGGAAGAGTGTTTATGATTTCTTCAGCAAAAGAATGTATGAATTGTTTAATCTTCTAGACTTTATTAGTATTGTTTTTATTTTTCTTAATACAGAAAAATAGCATAGCTATATAACATAAATTGGGAAAATCAGGGAAAGAAAATTTCATCAGCCATACATTTATAATCTTAAACCATTAAAATTATTCCAGCAAGTGTGTCTTGGTATAATTTCCTTTAAGTATTTTTGTTTGCATTTTAATATACTTATTGTTGTTGTTAAGTGCCGTCGAGTCTGTTCCGACTCACAGTGACCCTGTATAGGGTTTCCAAGGAGCAATTGGAGAGTTTGAACTGCTGACCTTGTGGTTCAAACTGACCTTTTGGTCCAGTGCTTATCAGTAACCACAGCATCACACCAGGACTCTAATATACTTATAACCAAGTATGTACATTTTTATAGGCTGCTTTTAAAAAGAACTTACTACACTATAGGCACCTTTCATGACTCTGGATCAATTGACTGAAAAGCATTCCTTAAAGAGTCAGTTCATTTAATGTTCAATTTCCAAATAATTGATCTTAAAATTAATGAATAGTGTTCCTGAATGTTTGTTGAGTGTTAGCATTTTCTTTCTCTGAGCATATACTCCTTTATATATATATATTTCAGAAAATGTGTATTATAAATATAACTATGTTGTTAAGCGCTGTCAAGTTGGTTTCGACTCATAGCGACCCTGCATAGGGTTTCCAATGAGAGCTCATAGCTATGAGTATATTTATATACACTGAATTTTTCAGTAAAAATATTGTTTAAGACAAATTGTTATTATTGTAGTGAGTCATGTTTTGATGAATTGTCCTACTTCCCTTTTCCATGTTGTTCTGTGTTCTCATTAGCCACTGTTTATAATGCCCCTATAATATTTATGTCGATAAATTCACCATACTTAATTATTCCTTATAAATCATTGTTTAGCCAGTTCCTGATTCTTTTCCTCTCTTTTTTGCACTCTGGAGTCCTATTGTGGTGCTGTTGGATAAGCACTGAACTACTAATCACAAGATCATTCGTTCAAACCCACCGGCTGCTCGTTGGAAACCCTGTCCAGGGTCTCTATGAGTCGGAACTGACTTGATGATGCTTAACAACAACAACTAACCTGAAGGGGAACGTGGGGCTTTGTAGGATAAGCACAGAACTGCAAACCACAAGGCAGCCCGAGGCTTTCTCCATGGAAGAAAGATGAGGCTTTCTGTTCCCGCAAAGATTTATAGCCTCAGTAACCCTATACAGGGTCGCTGAGAGTTGGAATCAACTCAATGGCGCTTAACAACCACAACTTAAAAATGCTTCAGAAAACATTTTTATCTTTTCCAGGTTTTGGGTTATTATGTTGTCATAGGTTTTCAGAAGTTAGATGACTGGAGTCAACGTTACAAAAGCGAAAGTGACTGAGGCATAGTGGCTGTGAGTTGCCAAATGCTTTTGATATGTGAGAATATTGGTGTTACTTGACCCTTATTATTATTGGATATTATAATTTTTGTGTCAAGTCAAATTCTATAAGTGAGAAATTGTACCTTACTTAGATTTGTAATTTTTAAAAATGATTAATTAGGTTGGACATCTTTTCATATGTTTTGTGTATTATTTGTGTTCCTGTTTAGAGGTTTGTCCATCAAGATTGTTAATGTGTATAAAGTCCTAGGATACTAATATATCTTTTACATATTTATTGAAAGTATTTTTCCCCTTTTTTGCCATTGCTTTTGTTTCATGTCCTAATTATCAATTTTCAAGTGACTGGAATATAAGATGAAGGTATGCACAGACTACACCAAGGCTATGTCTTAAAAATTCTTATATACCATTCCTGTGGAATTTGGGAGCTACTAGAGTTTTTTTTTTTAAAGCAGCAAGTGATATGATCAGTTTATAAAGGTTATTCCAAAAACAAGAGTCTGGAGACTAGGGAACCAACCAACAGGCTTTTGAAAATAATCTTTCAGAATAATGATGGTGTAAGCAGTAGGAGTCCTGGTGATGCTGTAGATAAGCACTGGACTGCTAACTGCAATGTCAGCGATTCCATCCTCAGAAACCTTATACAGGCTTGCTGTGAGTTGGAACCAATTTGATGGCACTTAGCAACAAGCAGTAGAGATGTAACTGGAGAGTGTTGGTGGGGTAAGAGAGATTTAGGAGATCAGATCAGTAGAATTGATTGACACTTGGGGAAGGATTCAGCTTTAGGAAAGAATTAGTAGTCTTGGCTGTGACCTGAGTTTTTGGTTTATGCAGCCGGGTGAGTAAGGACTATATCAGAGAATGTTTCTGGGTTATAGAAGGAAGGAAGAATGGTGGTGGTGGGTTCATTTTGGGCCATTTGAAATGCCTGTGGGGTCAGTTGGAAAATGTATATAATATGTATTCACATTACATAGCTTTAGAAATTTCCTGTGATGATATTAAAATCTTCTTTTATTTTTGTGTTTAGGAGACTGTGGCTCAGGCACTAAAGGAGGGCCATTTAAGCAAACAGAAGTGTTCCTGTGCATTTCAAAACCTTCTTCCTTTGTACAGCCTTGTGGTGAGTATGAGTTTAAGAGGATTACTAAATAAAATGTTTTCAAGTATGTGCTTAATCTTAGAGGCCATTGTCATAGATAATAGTGTACAACTTAATGCCTTTGTTGGGTAGATGGTTTGGTGACTAATTCTTGGGACAGGCCTGAGTAACAATTCTAACTGCAAAAGAAAGGGATCAATAATGAATTTATGTATTTCTTTCTGTCATGAAGTAGATAACATATATATTAAACAGAAATAAGATTCTTAGTAATAGTAAATGTTATGATTATTCCAGTGACATTTTATTTATTTCCATTAGCATTAAGTTGCTGTTATATCGATTCCAACAAATGTCAGATAATTCCAAAGTTGAAATTATTTTAGTAAAATGAAGTACAGAATGTGAGAGCAAGGAAGATGGTGATAAAACTCCAGTTATAGGCCCTACAAGGAAAGTGGTGGAGGATTAAGTATTGGCTCAAGAGTAAAACTAGAGTAATAAGGGGTAGTCACTTCCTGATGTTTCAAAGGAGATTCAGAAAGTACTCTTACTGCCAATTGGAGACCCATTGGCACTTGACTATGTAGACACCACAGATAGTAGGATTTTTATAGTCAACAATCAGAATCTTATCCCATCCTTTCCACCACTTACATTTATTTGGTTCTTTTGTTTGACTCACAGGTGAAAGACTTTCTTAAAATCCTACATGATGTTGATGAGACGCTTGCTGATGACCTGGAGAAAAGCTTCCCAAGTTTGAAGGTTTAGGCTTACAAAATGGAATTGGAATTTTCTCTGCTTGAGAAATGTTATTTTCCCCACTGACAGTTGAAATTGACATATTGGAAATAGTCAGATCAAGCTCACCTTCTACCTCTCTCAGCTTTATCTCACTTTTATTTAGCATTAGAATCTGGAGTTTCCAATCATTGTTTCTTTTTCATAGTTACAAACCTAAACTGTCACCTTCCCCTACCTATTCTTTATATTGGTTATGTGGTATTTATTATCTTTAATTAAAACAAACATACAATCTTGAGGTTCTAAAAAGATCCTAAAATGGATCTTTGAGGCGTTGGTGAGGATTCTTCATAACTCTCGATTTTTGTGTGAGAGTTTTGTGTTTGTTATAAGTGTACTCAGCCGCACTAATAGAAGGCCTTATTATAGTAGCTTAAACTCATAGTTTTTGTCTATCTTAATGCAGTAAGTCCAGAGATGTATGGTCCAGGCTTAATCAGATAGCTTAAGGACTTGACTCTTTCTACCTTTCTACATGGTCTGCCATATAGACCTTTGTTTATGCTTATTGTGGTCAAGAGGTCTTTACTGTCTCTGGGCCTTCAGGAAAAAGGAGAAAGAGACAAAGGGGCTTTTTCCTAGCAAGTCTTACCTTTTTGGAGGGAAGGACAGCATACCCTGACCAGAACCCCATTGCATGGCCTTTGCTAAGTGTATTTGAAATTAAGACTGTTTTCTTTATTGCCTCTAAAGGAGGAAAAGGCAAGACTGCCAATTCACAGTGTTTGTGATGGTTTGCAGACGTATTTGAGCTATTTTGTGATTGCAGTTTATGTTGATTCTACCCCAGATTGTTATAGATCCTAACAACTCAAAAGTTACTGTTACTGGTTTGGTTCTATTACATTTCAAAATTTCTTTTTTCGGTATGAAAGTAGAAATACTAACATTTTGATTAAAACTCAGTAACAAAATCTGTATTTTAGCATAATTTCAGTGGTAGGACTTCAGAAAATGATTTGCTTCCATGAATTCAGGATTTTAACATTAAGACTGAGGAAGTTTAGTAACTTCTGATTATTTAGAAATTATGCTGTACATGATTCCCCCTCATACTGTACCACCGTTGATAATTTTGATTACTAAAATTGAACTTTTAGCAGATTATAAGAAAATAACAGTATGAATAAGAAAGTCAGTTTTTGAAACATGTCTTGGTTTACTCTCTTCCCAGTTTATTTCAGAACTTTTTGATTTTGAAGCATTGATCTTGTGTCACATGTTTGTTTTCCCTGAGTGCCTTTTGCAAATAAAACATACACAATTTCTAGCATGGAGGTAGTTTTATTGTTGAAAGTATCACTGCTGAAAAAATTGAACTGTAAAATTAAAATCTTAGAGTTGAAATCTTAATTGGTAGGCTTACTTTATGTGCAGTGTGTCTTTGACTGTGACCTAAACTATTAGCTAAATAGATTTTAATGGGAGGTTTTAAAGGCACCAGTGGAATCACCCTTCACCTGCTGCTTGTTGTTATGTGCCTCCTAATAGGAGGGCAGACACGTACTAACTTGGGAGTTGTTAAGTACCATCGAATTGATTCCAGTTCAACAACCCTGCATAGGGTTTCCAAGGAGCGAC